TACTGCAGGAAATTACAACTCGTTTGAGGGGATTGACACTATGAGAGCGATAATTTGGTCTAGATGTTTCGGGATTTTGGCAAATAGGCATTGGCTCTACCTTACTTACCATGACAAACGTAATCGACATTTTTAGCTAAATTGAGAGATTGAGAATCTGGGATCAGCGAAAGAAGATCTACATCTTACAAGCGATTTTTTTATAGGTTATTTAGTTTCAGTGTCATTGTTAAGCAAAATCTGCATAAATGTCGTAAAACCTATTGTAATATTTATGTTTGGAACCCTCGACGTAAATAAAGGGAAATATTAAACATAAAGCTTAAACCGCACTAGAGCGACACAATAGCAAAACGCACTACAGAAGTCCTGCAGTGGAGCAGTGCGTTGCGGCGCGACAGAGTTGCCTTCAGTAAGGCTATAGTCGTCACCAAATAAGAGGCCAAATTTGACAGCTAAAGAAAGCGATAGTATGTAACTTTGAATGCGATCAACAAAACAATAAACAAACAATTATTAGCATAATTGAGTTTAAAAAATGCATATATTTATTGAAACATCATAATTATAACATGACGAAACATATTTGAAGTACGGTTTTCGCACGAATTCCAAAATAAAATGCAATTTTGAATTACCCCGAAACGTTCTGAAAACAGTTACGTCCTCAAGCAATTTTTTTTAAATAATAGTCATCATCAAACCCATCAACCCAAAACGGGTCTCCTTTCAGAGGAGGGTTTAGGCGATTGTCCGCCACAATGGCCCAATGCGGGTTGGGGACTCCACACGTTTTCCGAGGGTTGTGAACCTTCTTCAACGTGCAGGTTTCATCACGATATTTTCCTTCACCGAAAAGCTCACGATAAATTTCAAATTAAATTTCGCACATAAATTTCGAGAAACTCAGTGGTGCGAGCCCGGATTCGAACCCACGACCCTCTGCTTGAGAGACAGTAGGTCAAACCATTAGGCTACCAGGGCTTTTTCAATAATAGTGTTATTAAATAATAGTGTTGTAAGCAATGATTCGCCGAATTTTACCGAGTCACTTCGATATCGCGGAAAATATATTTTAAAAATATTAGAAAAAATTATGAACATTATTTGAGATTGTTTGTTGTTGACATTGATAACTTCTAACTTATTGCCTGCCGAATCATTGAAAATTTATGGTTTCTTGGTAATTTAATATTTTTATGTAGTTGTTTTATCGATGAACATACTTCTTTACACTAAATTCTCGTAACAAACCATTTATGAATATTATAAAATCAAAACTAAAAGAATTAGATACAATTCAACGGAATATGGGATAATTTTACGAAAATAAGAAGAATTGCTACAGAATTGTAAGGAATTCTGTAAATGAATTGCTTTTAACAGAACTGCACGATTTGGGCTTTTACGCCCCCAGAACAACAATGAACTGAAAAATAATAAACAATCACAAACCAATTTTGAATGGATTTCTTGTGAAAATCGTATAATGTGATTACCGACATGATTAGTCCATATCGCTATTCGAGTCACGGTGACAAGTGTCAAATTTGGCCTCTTATTTGGTGACGACTATAGCATGGCAGGGTGTGACTGGCGCAGGAGCGACTATGACATATCTCTATATGAGAATAGCAGTATCTTATTTTATGTCACTCTGGCCGTACTGGAGAACATTTCACCGCCGCACCGCGTTGCTCCGCTGCTGTGTCCCTCTAGTGAGGTTTAAGCTTTATTAAGGTATTTGTTATTTATAATTAGTGATATCAAATTCTTTTAGCAATATATACTACAATAACTATGCTTTAGAACTTAGAATAATAACGCATAGAAACCTAGTCCGCACACGCTAAGTGAGGCAAATTGAAGCGCTCCCAATGGGCCTACACGAGCGGGCGGGCCTTCAGTGCTCAAGGTCAACTTGCACCGCGAAAAGATCAAGAATTTTAGCTAAAAATGACGAAATGTGCGGTAAATGAGAGTAAAAATACGTCAGACAAACATAAAATAGATACTAACATCACATTCCACAAGGAAGTAACGCGTTTTGAAGTAACTGCCTCCGTGGTCGAACGGTTACCATGCCGGACTGCCACGCAGAGGTCCCAGGTTCGATTCCCGGGCCGGGAGAAATATTTGTATGGCCTACATTTATTTCTCTCGTGAGTTTGGGTGTAATTTGTGGTTGTCTATATGTGTCCATGGCATCCGCGGTTTCCCTAGTGCGGGGCTATGTTGAGCGTGTACGTTATTGTTATTATTATTATGTACGTTTCAACTTGTATTTTTATATAAATATTCACTAAAACCGAAAATTAACCTACTACTAAAAGTAGCCTACATGAATTTGATTTTTGACCCACTTGTGACAGTTCGTTTGATATGAAACTATCATTCTATGCGTTATTATCATTGACTTACAAATAAATGGACGACGGGTCTAATACAAAAACCACGAAAAAAATGTCCCAAGTCAGCCTATTCGAAATTTAAATTGTTATGTCATCGCAGTATCGCGCTGTCCGTAGAACAAATGAAGACTAAAGCGGAGTGTCGCGCTCTGTATACGATTTTAGCGCCTTACAAGTGCGGACACTTTTTAGCGCGGACCCGACGTCCATATAAATGTAAGTCAATGGTTATTATTCTAACTTTAGAACATATCGCTTTAGAACATATCGGCTAGTTTATTATTATTATGATTTTATCGATATAACATTGTCAAGTGTAAAGATATTGATTACTAGTGTTTTTAATAAACTTAAAGTAGCAGACGCTGAAAACGAGCAATGAATTTTGTGGGACGGACGCAGTGCCCCTCAGATCTTTTTTTTATATTTAATAACAAGTGACGGGACGAACAAGTCGTGCGCCTGATACACGCCTGTCCATAACAGTTGCAGTGCCACTCAGAGCTTTAAATTGCAAAGATCTGAGGGGCACTACCACTGCGCTCGTCACCCAGAGACAAGTTCACAAGTCCCATGTGCCTGCCTTATTTATTTATTTATTTTATTTATTTATTTTTAATACAGCTGCTCAAAACGTGGTATTTTTCGTACTACAAATCATGCCGAAAGTTGGATTTTTCGCACTAGTGCGTTTTACTATTCCATTTTTTTTTAAATTTAATGTTGTTTCAAGTCTTGAACATAGAACTAAAGAGGTTGTATATTTATTTAATATTTATGTGCTTTGTGACGTAAGTCATTCGTCATTAAAACTTATATTTACTTACAAACATCGTATTTGTTTGAATTGCATAAGTGTTTTATAAAACAACGGGTTACATTTAAAAATACTAAAATATTTTCCATAAACATCTTTATGGCTGATTGAGTATTAACAATGACCGGAGGTGAATATTACGCGAGATCGCTGCGCGCCGCGCCACTAAAATAGTAATTTTAATGTGGCTGAATACTGGCAACAGTTGCCATTGTACTCTGAATTTTTATCAGACAAACAAATAAATGAGTTTTATTTTACTTTCAAGGTAGTTTTTTCGCAAATGTATTGAAAAAAATCGTCTGATACAATTGCGGATTTGACCCTCGCCTCTGGCGCGGGCCAAGAAGTAACTAACTTTACGCTCTTGTGTGAAAAATAACTATTACTACCCTGGACGAGCTCTTTCACGAGGAGCTCTACTGATACTGAAGTATCTTTACGATTTAAAGTTCTGAGTGGCACTGCAACTACTATGGACACGGACCAGGTTCACGACTTGTTCGTCCCGTCACTGGGTATCATACAAAAAATCATTCCTAAGCTGACTGCGTCCGACGACACTCAGTCTGTCTCCAGGCTTGCCGCGGCAATGTGAATACTGCCATTTCGGTGTGCTCAATTCATATGACTATTATAAAACGAAGCGCAATCAATAAGGGATGATGATGCTAACGATTCACAGAGACGTACGTACTTGAGCAGTTAACTCGTGTCTACAGGGCTAAATAGAAAATGAAATATTTTAAAATGAACAGGCATCTGATCATTTTACTCATTGCCGTCGTGGCTGTGAGTACTCATTGTGATATTTCTTAAAAAATAATTATGTAAGGTACGTTGTAACATTGCTAATTTAGTAAATTACGGTAACGGATGCAAAGAACAGAATACGATACGTTTCGTAAAATATCAAAAATTCGTTGCTAAAATAAAGTTCGATAATCTCAAGATATAGTCGTCTATAACTAGTATGGATCAATAAAATATTAAATTTGTCTATGTATATGTTGAAAATCGGAGTCGAATAGGTGTAAAAAAATCAGAGGTAGTAAATTTTCAATAAATGTTAGATTTTTCTTCTTTTTCAATGTTTTTTTTATGTGAATTCTTTTCTTAAGTGTACAGCCGCTAACGGAGGATTGAGAGACTTACAGGAACAACAGTCCTCAAATTTAGACACCCGTATGAAGCAGGCTTGGCAAAGAGTGGTCAATTTTTTCTGTGGATTGGTGAGTAATTCACTCATTCATTTAAGTATTTGTTTATTGTAACAATACGGTACAGATACTGGACTCGTATACATAGTTATAATTTATATTTGTCTTTAAACAGCGATATGATAATCTTGGTTTTATGCTTGATTACATCTACTTTGAAAACGTTATTTGAGAAAGTAGAATTTTCATAATTAATTGTAAGAACAATACATATGTGTATTTTATTTAATTTTTTTCGATGTACAAAACAGTTTACATTGAGGGAAACATCTTTGAGATACAATTTATTCTAGAATGCAGACCTAATACTTGTATATACAGCATTATTATGCGAAGTGTAAACATATTTGCTTAAGGATTACAAAAAAAAGGGAATAGTGAGATTACTAACTTAAAACTAATGCGAATAAAGACTAACACAGATGTTAATTTGACAGTACTAAAAAAAGACGAGTGGAAGTTGTTGAGGAGATTGGTACAAATTCTACAAAGATTGTTGTCGAAAACATCAATGTGACCTTCAGATACTGATATTTTAGTAAATTATTGAAGGTTCGGCACATTCAAGTCAAAAGGTTATAAAAGGATGTATTATTTCTATAAACATTTAATACAAAGGTTTTAGGGCAATGGGATGAAGTTTAATGTTAATGTATCCATGAAAATAACGTTTTCATACCAAAAATAGGATTTCTCTATAATATAAATAATACCTACTGATTTCGCATCGAAATTCAGAATTGGCGCTTCGACGGCCGCGTTTTGGAGCCTAATACTCCTCGTTGCCCTCCTTATTGCACCTAAAAACACTGCGATTATATTTATAATACATTATACTCAGTGAATATTTTATATGAAATATTTATATAAAATGTACCCTATGCCATCGGTATGTTAGATTGAAAGTTGTTATATCAATCATCTATTATACCCAATGAAGTTTATGTCATGCGAGAATATCGGACTATTCACATTACAACGTGCCGCGTCCGTGACACGGACGAGAGACGCCCGAGTTGCTTCCGAGCGTGTCCGAGCCTCGTATGCGGCCCGGCAGGTCTCGGGTCTTTGTAATGTGAACACTCCCTGACTCTGTCCAATTTAAGATCGTACGGCACGTACGAGGTTCCGATGCCTCGGACACGGCTCGTACCCGGCATGATCTAATGTGAATATGAATATGCAACACGTCCGAGGTTCGGATGACTCGGACACGTCTCGCGCCCGGCACGGTCTAATGTGAATCATCCTTATGTCAAATGTCTGTATACCATAAATTAATTATATCCTTTGAGCGTTATATCAACGAAAAATATGTCATTTATTGTTATATCTTACGAACCGCACCCGTTAGCGACAGACTAATTGGCGACGATAAGCTCGAATCTAAACTTCATAGTTACCACCAACGCAAAGTGGCCTGTCTGTCGGTTTTCTACAGAATATACTTCGATGAGTGTGCCTTTTACCATCCATCCAGGTGTAGTGTATTGTAGACGTTATGTAGGTACCTTAATAAACAAGTGTATTTTTGTTTCAGGTACGCGGGCGAAAGGGTAATCATACTTTTGTATATCAATGATCTGTTTTATATTAAGATCGAATACTATCACTTATGTGGATTGTACTATAGTAGCTGTTGGATAAATTTAAACGGCAATAATTTCTGGTAAAAAAACGGATGTTATAACGTCTTTTTCCTTACAATAATATTTAGGTATGTTCCTACGCTCATCAAAAGAACAATTTAATTTTAGGCATGTCCCATTATAGAGTTCTACGGTTTTTGAGATTGTTGCACATCGGAAAATATTTTTTCAGATCTAAATCAAGAATATTTGTTTTTTCAAATAAGCCAACATTTTGGGCTCTTTACAGGTGCAATGGTCCCAAAAATCCCAAAGATCCCTAAAATTAGTTTATTTTGCAACATGTCCCACTTAATAAAAACGTATAATTTTTACGAATCTGGCAATTCCCGGCTGTGAATGTTCATGTATTAAAAGGATACCTGAAGAGCAACGTGTATTTTTGCGACTCCCTTCTTTTAATTAGATTATACTATACTCTCGATACTGGACTTTCTTTTTAAACTTCTTTTTTGTATTATATGTATTTATGAATAAATGTTTTATTGTTATTATTGTTGTTATTAAACATGATATACCTACATAAAATGTTGTAATATGAAGTTTATTGAATATCACAACGTTTTACTACTATCATATTGAATATTTTTGGGAAATTACTCCACTAATTTGTTATAACTGTTAATACAAGCATCCAACACTAAGAAAAAATCCTTCGATCCGGCTGAATTTAATCCAGCATGTTCAGCATCTGGTATGCTGTATCTTAGTGTTCGTTTTTTGAATTAATAATGTTATTTGCTTTTGAATAAAACGTCGCCTTACTTTCTCAAACTCGTATCGTAAAACACAAAGTAACTGAAATGCAAAATTTTGCGGGTCGATTTCATATCACATTTCCTTCATATTCACGCATTGGCTTTTACCTATTCTTAAAGTAATGCTTCCATATTAATACCCTTATATTGTAGATAAGAAATTTATAATGAATAGAAAGTTTTGCCTACTCCTGAATAATCACTTTTTGTAAGATACGTGGTTGTGAAAGTAAGGCATCGAAATACCTTTTTCACAATACAGCGTTATAGTGACATTACTTATGGGTTTTTTCCGCTCTATGCTACATTATATGTTTAAAAACTTTGCTGGCTATTTATATTACATGGATTGTACGAGTAGTACCATCTAGCAGGAAATTATTGTACAATTGTTACACGGGGCTAGTCCTATTGTTCATTTAGTATCTTTCTCCTTAACTTATAATATATAATAACTATGGGAATTCACAATCGACCTAATGGTTCGCTCTAAAGACTTCATACGGATATTATGAATATGTAAAAATGCGGAACAGAGCGAAAATAGGTTCAAAACATTTTTTATTATCAACCTATATGTCCCACTGGTGGGCACGGGTCTCCTTTCAGGCGAGGGTTTAGGACATAGTCCGCCACCCTGGCCCAATGCGGATTGGGGACTTCTCACGTTTTCCGAGGGTTGAGCTGAAAAGCTCATGATAAATTTCAAATTAAATTTTGCACATAAATACCCAAAAGCTTAGAGGTGTCAGTCTGGGTTCGAACCCGCGCGGCCTCTACTATTCGTGACATTCCAGGATTGATTCTCCGGGCTATCTCCACAAGACACCGTCTCTGGGTTATAAAAAGCACAGACGCATATAGCCACAATGTATGGTTAAATTGACAAAGTTTAGTTTTTTTATACTTCAAGTTTATACGAAATGTACCTTCAAATTTATCGAGCGTAATAACTTAAAAAAAAATCCATGGGGCGATTATGTAATTAACAAGCTCGTGTCCATAATTTAGGGTATTACGGTCAACTTTGCCTGCATGTCATGACATTGTTTAGAAGCGAGTGTGATGAAAAGGACTTTATGTAATATGAAGTGTTTAATAGTGACGACACTTATAGACACGGAAACATACTTTCTCGGTCAGAATTTGCTATTGCTATTATAAAATAGATAAAAAAATATATAAAAATGATTGTAGTAAAATATATAAAAAAGATTGTAGGGCACTGTGATATAAATATCACAGTGCCCTACAATCTTGAGCTGTTAACCCAATTTTTTTTTATAATGTCAAGTGACGGGACGAACAAGTCGTGCCCTTTTTGTGAGCTACTCGCCCGTCCATAACAGTTGCAGTGCCACTCAGAGTTTTAAATCGCAAAGATCTGAGGCGCACTGCCACTGCGCCTGTCACCCTAAGTTGACAAGTCCCATGTGCCTGTAATTTTACAAGCACCCTTACCCTTCAAAACCGGAACACAGTAATGCTAATATTACTGCTTGGTGGCAGAATTAGGTAAGATACAAGCAATAGTTCCCTGGACGAACTTTTTCATAAGAAGCTCTTCTGCTACTGAACTACTAATGCTTTTAAAATGAACAAGCTTCTGATCATTGTACTCATTGCCATCTTTATTGTAAGTACTTCTTTGATATTTTTCAAATAGTGAGATTGTAACATCGCTAACGTAATACGATACGTTTAATAAAAGAAAAAGTTTAGTTGCAAAAGTGAAGTTCGATAATTTCATGAAATAGGCGTAATTCTATCATGGATCAATAAAAAGTCAAATTCGAAGTCGATTCTTCATTTTATAGGTAATCAAATTACACGTCTTGAAATCGTAACACTGTTAAACTCTACTGTTCATTCGTAAGGCAGTTTCCCCTGAGAAGAATGAGCAAGAAACTTTAGGGGTAGCTCTTTGTAACTATGCTTTGGAATACATTTACCATAACAATATTTAATTTAATTACGTAATATGATTTTTCGGTCAAAATATTTTTAATGTAGGTTTTAAACTTAGGAAATGATAAACTTAATATATACTCCGGAATCTTATTGTAAAAATGTATACCTATATAGCTCCCATAAAAGATAGCATAGTATAGCTCCCATAAAAGAGTTGTTTACCTTGGTTAAAGGAAATCGTGGTACCATGAGTTTGGACTTAGCCCTAAGGTTAATATTATGGATATCTTCTTTTTTATTGAAATTGTATATATTTTTACGGGCATATAAAATATTTGAGTAAATGTTTTGTGATGCCACAGTCATGATACCAGACTCCTTAAACTTTTCTCTGAGAGAAACCCGAGAGCCTAGACGGTACACAGAACGAATCGCTCGTTTTTGCAATACAAATATGGTTTGAATATCTGCCGCGATACCCCACATGAGAATCCCGTATGACATTATACAATGGAAATAACTAATGTAAACTAGCCTAGTAGTACTAACATCGGTAAGCTCACGTATTCTGCGGACTGCGTATGCAGCGGAGCTTTATCTGCTGGCCAGGGAAGATATATGTGGAAACCATTGAGGTTTACTATCTAAGGTCACTCCCAAGAAGACTACTTTATTAACAAGGTCTAACTTTTCTCCGTTTACTTCTATGCTTGGACTAGTCGATTTTACATTAGGTAATTCAAATTTAACACATACTGTCTTCTTGGCATTAAGCAATAAATTGTTAGCATTAAACCAATAAACTACCTTTGAGAGGGTATCATTAATATGGTCATAGTTAATGTCATATCTGTCTGTTTTAAAAATCAAGGATGTGTCATCAGCAAACAACTTTATTTCGCAATGGTCCTTAACCAAGAATGGCAGATCATTAATATAAATCAGAAATAAGAAAGGTCCAAGTATTGAGCCCGGCTTAACACCCATTTTTACCGGAGAACCCAAAGAAGTCACTCCATTTATGTCTACTTTCTGAATTCTACAGTTGATATATGACGAGACAAGTTTCGACGCCTTGCCATTTACGCCGTAATGTTCCAGCTTCCTAATAAGAGTAATATGATCAACGCAATCAAATGCCTTTGAGAGGTCACAGATAACACCAATAGCGTTCTGGGATCTTTCCCAAGCATCATTAGTGTTTTAGTAACGCTCCCCTCGCATCGCTAGTCGATCTACCACTAGTAAACCCGTATTGTTCACTATGAAAAATATGATTCCTACCGAAATAGGACAGTAATTGAGTCAGCATAACCTTTTCGAATATTTTACTTAAAGCTGGTAAAATTAAAATGGGCCTATAGTTGCTAGGATCAACTTTCCTACCGCTTTTGAATAAGGGAATAACCTTGCCGTATTTCATTAAATCGGGAAAAACACCTTCGTCAACGCACCTATTGAAAGCTACAGCTAACTTTTAGCCGTGGGGCGACGGCTTAAGAATACATTGTCGCCTCCCCATACATGCCCGTGGGGGTCGTAAGAGGCGACCGAGGGCGTCACAAGTGTCCATCTGCTTAGCATTGTGGTAGGCTCTGTGCCGACTGGATAGCGACCACAGTACACACGGCGGAAAACCCTCCACAGTGAAACGCTTTTGCGAATCGCGTTCAGGGATCAGTTGGTGTACATCCAGTGCATTTGGCCAGACCGGCAAAATGATAGTGACGGAGAGAAGATATTTGTGTTTTCCATCCGTTACTCTCATCTCTGGACTGTATTCGCACTTTCCATCAGGCGCGGTGCAGTCATTTTGTCGAGTCGCAATAAAAAAAAAAAAAAAAAAGCTAAATGTGGGGAAATTAGATCAATAACTGAGTCTATAACTTTAGTTGATATGCCCCAGAGACCTTCAGTTTTTTAACATGTATTGATTTAAAAGCTTTTATGATGTCTTGTGGATTAACATGACGGAAATTAAATAAACTGCCACAAACGTTAACATTTTCCTTTAGGAGATCTATAGCAAGATAAAGGGAGGAATTTAATGATTCTGTAGTGTTCACAGCAATTTCCAAAAATAACGTTTCAAAAGCTTGTGCTACCTTGTCTTTAGATTTTATAAGTTTGCTGTCTAATTCTAAAACTATATCTCTATCGTGTTATTTAACCCTGCCCGACTCTTTATTTATTATGCTCCAAGTAGTTTTAGATTTATTTATCGATTGTCTAATTTTGTCGCTGTGAAACTTAACCTTAGCAGCTAGACATACTTTTTTAAATATTTTTGATTAAATTCTAACATATTCTATGAAATTGGAATTAGTATTATAAGTTTTCATAGCATATAGCTCATACAAACGAGACCTACTCTTATGAATACCTACTGTTGCCCAGTCGTTGAATTTAGTATCTCTAATATATTAACAAATTCATTTTTAATTAAACCTCCGGTATATGGGGTAGGGAATTTAAACTATTGCCGATATTATTTTGAAATCTAATGATTCGTTCTGTGGTAATCGGTCTGCAGAGAAATTGGTCTACCTTCTTGCTCATTTTACAATTAAAAGAAGCCAATTGGCTACTATGGTCTGATCTTAAGCAATTTATTATTGATTTAGACACTGCATCTGTGTTACAAAAGATGTTATCACTATAAGTAGAAGAGGAGGCAGCGATGCGAGTTGGTTCTAAGAAAAGATTAATCAAGTTAAAACTTTAAATAAATTAATGAGTCTTACAGAAGTAGAACAGTT